GGACATTAGGTCCCCCACCCACCGCTCAGGGGTGGGGCCAGGGGGGGAAGACATTAGGTCCCCCCTTATTCTAATTTAGGGCCCCCACCCACTGCTCAGGGGTGGGGGCCAGGGGGGAGGACAGTATTAGGGAGTTATCTACTAAGCGGCTGCAAGAGAAGTGCTGAAGTCGCCGAAGTTCCGAGGTGTCGAATTGCATAAATAAAAACCTCGGCTCATGGGTTCATTTTCCTGGGGCAATATGTAAAATATACCTGATGATTGCTGTCTCACACTGAGCATAAATATGGAATTAAAAAACAAAACTTCTGTATCTGATTTGGGACATGGGTACTGTGAGGTCAGGACATATTACTTTACTGAGAGGGTAGTGGATGCATGGAATAGCCTTCCAGCTGAAGTGGTAGAGGTTAACACAGTAAAGGAGTTTAAGCATGCATGGGATATGCATAAGGCTATCCTAACTATAAGATAAGGCCAGGGACTAATGAAAGTATTTAGAAAATTGGGCAGACTAGATGGGCCGAATGGTTCTTATCTGCCGTCACAGTCTATGCTTCTTACTTTCATTAAGTTTTTATTTGTTATCTAAAATTTAGGGTTACCAGACCCACCATGGTTTCAGGGACAAATATTACATATACATGTTGATGGGCAGCACATTATAAGGGTTGCCCTGTAGTATGTAGAAGTGCTTAAAGTCATTAAAAGACCTCTGAGTTTTAACATTTCATGATTTTCTGTGTCCCTTTTTATTTGTCCCCTCTCTTTGCATTCTGTATATAGTACATTTTTATTGCACAACTGATTTCGATAGTTTAGGGGGACAAGAAAGCATCTATACCAGAATGGTTAGGCAGTTCCAGACAGAGGCTACTCTCTAATTAGGGACTTGCCTTAAGGCAGACTGATCTGTCAGGCATTACATCTGTAACTGAGGGCTCGAACCCGGCAGCCTGCCCTGTACCCCACAGTGTGCCTAGCACCTCCATGCAGTCTGCTCTAGGGGAGAGCCCAACTTCCATAAAATGGGCCTGAGATCAGCATTTACGGTAATTGTGTAATAGTATTTTATAGGGATTGTCATCGGTAGTGATCTCAGTTTTGGTAAACATGATACAATCACCTTTAGTTCTGCTCTTGGGACTTTAGAAAACCTATTCAAGCGTTCTATTAATTGCTTTGATTCACATGAATGAACACCTGGAACTGCAAAAACAAACAAATTGTAATAGTTACAAATATCCGCACAATTAAAGTGTTTAATTTCTTTATATTTCTCTGCTGTTTTTTTTGTTTTTTTTTACGACAGTGTCCTTTTAAGAGGTTCCAGTGTCCCTTTCATTCCAGTTGCAGACAGACACATTTGCACAGGATGTCTGTAGTCTGCTTTACCAGGCGAGCCCACGCTTGTTTGTTTCGTCCTCCCTGTGACACTGACACCTGGTTTGAAGTGCACTCATTGTGCATTTGTTATTTCCTCATTATGCAGGGATTCCTTTATAGAGAAATTGGCGCAGTTCTTTGTGCAGGTTTACATGCATAGAGTAACGTTGGCTGTGGGTCTTCCCCTTCTCTTCAGCCCTTAGAGTCCTATTGACAGCAATTTTGAGCGCCATTACTCGCATAATATTTGCACGGTTTCTCAGACAAACCATTCATCCTTGTGCCCTTCTGACGTCAGTTCTGCCACAGGAAGCTGATCCCCTGCGTCCTTTTATTGTGAAACACTTCAGCATCAAAATTTGGACACAACTAGCCTGGTGTCTATAGACATGCACCTCCTGGGGGCGCAGGCCTGGCCATAAATAACATTGCTATACAAGCCTTCTCTGAGCTCAGTTTCATTGACATGTTGTGGTCTCATTGCAAATCCCAATAACAAGTGTTTTGTTCCGTGTGATCTGTCTGGTATACCAACTTGGCTCTTTGACTTCCATGGTTTATTTACACCATGGCACACCATATTGAAAATGCAAATGAACAATTTCTCAAAGGGAAACATTTGAAAGCTTTAGTTAAATCTCCATTGACATTACACGAACCTGCGGAAATAGAGTGTGACGTAACGGAAAAGCAGGTTTTTTTTTTTTTATTCTTTATTTTTGCTGTGCTTAGAAATACAAAGCTTGTAGTACCACAGCATCAATTACAAACAGATTACATGAAATAACTTTTTATGGATTATTTTCAGGAGTAGTGACATGCTGGGTTTGCTCGTCTCAATGTGAGACTGTTAATGAACTAAAAGGCATCAAACAGACCAGAATGTTGCTGCTTGCGTAAAAGGAAAATGAAACCAGCTAAAAACAATGTGTAGGTGTCTGGTGAAGTGGAAGTAGCCATATCCTATAATGATTAAGCTTGAGCTTGTGCATAGTACGTGTAGGCTAAGGTTCAGAATCATTATGCAGCATAGCACATGAAAATCAGACCTGTTGTGCTGACCATTGGGCCACTGGAACTAGATGTGTGTGTATATAACAGAAAAAGAAAAAAGTGCGCTGTGCCTTTAAGTGCTAATTCAACAATTAAAAACAATCTATAAACAAATTTTGATCAGACAATAGTGAATAAAGTGCAAATACCATATAAATAAATTTTATCCAATAATTTATACTCTGTGAATACGTGCTGTTTTATGAATTTCAAACAGAAAAACACTAACTCCTTAGAATATAGGAACTGCTGAAGATTGAAGGAGTATCTCTTTAAATCGCTTCCACATATAAATAGAAAAATATAGGAAAACAAAAGACACAATATAGTGTAAATCTTTATAATAAATATAAGCAAAAAATAATAATAGGAGAATACCACTCACAATGGTAGAGCAGAATAAAGTCTGCTCCAACTATAAACGCTTTCAAATCCTCTCTGCAGGATTCTGTAGAACAGTTGAATGGTGTGCTTGAAACAAGCAGGACGGCACCAGAATAAAAATAAACCTTTTATTGGTACAGGATAAAACAAAAGATCATCACCCCTCTCCCTGGAAAGCCAAGATGGTTCAGACTCACTTTTGACTCGCGGCATGCACTTGCGGTCTTTCGGTGGTTAGATGTTTCCGGGAATAGGAGGTGCTAGTAACACGTACTGACGTCGTGCGTCCAAAAACGTGATGACGCGTTTCGCCTTGCCGGCTTCCTCAGATCACGTTCAGGTGGTTGCCGTCTCTCAAAATATATACCCGTCTATGTGGGCGTGGTATCATCTTCAATTAGAGACGGAACCACCTGAACGTGATCTGAGGAAGCCGGCAAGGCGAAACGCATCATCACGTTTTTGGACGCACAACGTCAGTACGTGTTACTAGCACCTCCTATTCCCGGAAACATCTAACCACCGAAAGACCGCAAGTGCATGCCGCGAGTCAAAAGTGGGTCTGAACCATCTTGGCTTTCCAGGGAGAGGGGTGATGATCTTTTGTTTTATCCTGTACCAATAAAAGGTTTATTTTTATTCCGGTGCCGTCCTGCTTGTTTTAAGCACCATTCAACTGTTCTACAGAATCCTGCAGAGAGGATTTGAAAGCGCTTATAGTTGGAGCAGACTTTATTCTGATCTACCATTGTGAGTGGTATTCTCCTATTATTATTTTTTGTTTATACTTATTATACAGATTTACACTATATTGTGTCTTTTGTTTTCCTATATTTTTCTATTTATATGTGGAAGCGATTTAAAGAGATACTCCTTCAATCTTCAGCAGTTCTTATATTCTAAGGAGTAAGTGTTTCTCTGTTTGAAATTCACAAAAGAGCACATATTCACAGAGTATAAATTATTGGATAAAATTTATTTGCACTTTAAGTAATAAATATATGGTATTTGCACTTTATTCACTATTGTCGGACCAATATTTGTTTATAGATTGTTTTTAATTGTTGAATTAGCACTTAAAGGTGCACTTTTTTCTTTTTCTGTGTATATTATTTGAGTGGTTTTAGAGCTATTTTCACTTTTATGAGTGCTTGCTAGCCTTTGTTAGTGATATTCTTAATTATTTAAATTGATTTAATAGCGCCATTTTTTACTTGATTTATTATACTTTTTTGCACTATAT